TGGTTAAGATTATATATATGAAAGCATTTATGTAGGAGTAATAAATAATTCCATTACAGTAATTTGTAGCTCAGCCGTTGTCTACTGTCATGACCAATCATAATGGTTAAGATGAAAGATAATGTTGTGAGGCCAGTTTTTTCAACATAAGCAAAACACATTGGGAGGAAGTTTTCCTATGAGTTCACTTCCTCTTGTTAGAGTTGACAAAATGGAAAGTAAGAATATGGATTATAATCTTAACCAGGAAGTGATGTCACAAGTAAAGTTTACTCAACTGTTTGAGGTACATAGTCTTCCTGGTTGCTCAATGTAGTAACGGTAGGAAATAGCTTCATTCATACAAAACTAAGGTTCTACTTAATCAAAAGCGGAAAATTACATCAATAAAAAAATCTGAAAAGAATATATGCTGTAGAAATGATACGCAAGTACAAATATCTATATATATATATAATTAAAAAAAAACCTTAAAAATAAGTAAGTTGATGTTGGCTTTTTCCTAATAATTGCAATTACTAATTTAAAATATATCTGTATAAAAATTCCACATTAACCGAAAGTATTTTTTAATTTCTTTTAAATACATTAAAAATGTTATTAGTTAAAATGTGCTTCTAGATTTTAAAGCATTCACACCTAAAACACTTACAATAAAATTACCACTGTCATTTTTGTACTGAAACTTCTGTCTCTAAAGAATTTGGATATCAAAAGGTGGTTTACATTTGTTTGTTTTTTTCCATTGTCATAGAGCAGTTTATAATTCTGTTACTTAACAGAAAAATGTAGCCTTATTATTTCACCAGACATCTAAATGGTCTTGTAACAAAAATAACAAGAGCAATGCATTATCTACCTTATGATTCAGAATTTCCTGTTTGATTATTTAATATGCTAACCAAAAAAAATAAATTAGAAACATTCTAAAATGCAGGTGTTCATCAAGTGAGTATATTTTAGGATATTTGCCAGATACAAGTAAGAAAGGTATTGGTCTATAATGAGTGACACGTGATTAACCTCCCTAAAGACAGGTATTAAAAAGAGCGGATAAACAGGACAAACTGGGGGATTTCCCATACTCACACTTTAAGAAACCAGTTTCAAGAGTAGGATGTATTAAACAAATAGCAGGAACAAATCCTCTAAAATGTTTCCCAGACAAAAGTTTAATCTACAGAGAGAGAAAAAAAAAAAACAGTTTTAAATTCATAGAACACTTTGAAATTCTATGAGTATTATTATATACATGCAAAAAAACAACAACAATTAGAATTCACCCTAAATTGGTAAATAAGAATGCATTGCGAATCTTAATCCTACTGTCAAATATTTTTACTTTGATATTAATGACAAATTAAAATATAAAAACTACACAAAATAACTAAAATTTCAAGGATTCTCGAGTTATGATCATTAAATTATTCTTTTCAAAGTCTTTTATAAGGCTTTTTATTATACAACTACCTCTTTAAGTCTGTTCCTTTATTATGTATGGAAGCATGTTATGCTTATATAATAGTAAATTGACAAACAACAATTTATAATATAATGTAGTGATTTTATTTTGGGGAACATAGTACACTACACAGTTTATCTTATTGATTTTGTTAACTTACATTAAATTGTTGTTGTTTTTATGTTTTCCTCTCAAAGTAAGAAAAAAAAATTACTTAATTCAATTCATACTTGAATTTTATTTTCTGCCGTTGTCTTCTACAACTAATTAATTCTATGTTCTTAATAAGTAATGTCATAAAGGTTCATCTGTTAGATTCTGTGATTGGTCATAAATGAACATCTCTGAACATCATTTTTCAATTCTATGTAGAAGTCTCTCTGGGCAAGAGCAGCATACATTATGTGGTGTTACATAATACTTTACAAAGACATACGGGTTGTTTTAAATGAACCACAAAATTATTTCTTCCAGATACTGTTGAAATGTTAAAATCAATGAACGATCCACTAACTCTGGTGAGACACCTAATGTTGAAATGTTAAAATCAATGAATGATCCACTAACTCTGGTGAGACACCTAATGTTGAAATCAATGAATGCTCCACTAACTCTGGTGAGACACCTAATGTTGAAATCAATGAATGCTCCACTAACTCTGGTGAGACACCTAATGTTGAGATCAATGAATGATCCACTAACTCTGGTGAGACACCTAATTTGAAATCAATGAATGCTCCACTAACTCTGGTGAGACACCTAATGTTGAGATCAATGAACGATCTACTAACTCTGGTGAGACACCTAATATTGAAATCAATGAATGCTCCACTAACTCTGGTGAGACACCTAATGTTGAAATCAATGAATGCTCCACTAACTCTGGTGAGACACCTAATGTTGAAATGATAAAATCAATGAATGATCCACTAACTCTGGTGAGACACCTAATGTTGAAATGCTAAAATCAATGAATGATCCACTAACTCTGGTGAGACACCTTATGTTGAAATGTTAAAATCAATGAATGATCCACTAAGTCTGGTGAGACATCTAATGTTGAAATGTTAAAATCAATGAATGATCTACTAACTCTGGTGAGACATCTAATGTTGAAATCAATGAATGATCCACTAAGTCCGGTGAGACACCTAATGTTTAAATGTTAAAATCAATGAATGATCCACTAAGTCTGGTGAGACATCTAATGTTGAAATGTTAAAATCAATCTTAAAAAACTAATACTGATATAATTAACTCTCTTTAGATTTACTCACATTTTACATTTCTAACCATAATGACAAAACTTAAGCTTTTTCACAAGATTTATACTATTTTCAAAACAGGTTTATTCTGGCAGTAGTTTTAAGTCACATCCTGGCATGGGTGGCATCTAGCCAAGGAAATCATACAACAGAACTGAAGACAAGTTTCTTATAGAAAACATGAAAAAAACAAAAAAAAACTGACAGTCAAATAAAAGACAAATACACAGAAAGAAATCACAAACATTTGCCAAGAAAGTCTTACTGTTGTATAGATTACTGAATACTGTCGTTAAGGCCGACTGAATATTTTGTTTTTATCACAACATGATATCTCATGATAACCAAGAAACACAGCTATACTACTATAACATAACACATCAATTATTAAACAGGTGTTGCCAACATGCTACATGATATGTAGCCAAGTGAAAGTCCATGTTTAGATTTGACTGACTTGTTTACACAAGGCCAATTATACAAAATACTATTGTGACACCTTTTAAAAATAAATTTTAATATATAGTTGACCAAATTGGTTAACAGGTGTTCTAGTTTGGCTAGTATTCCAAAGAAAAACTAGAAAATTATAAACCTATAAGAACAGAGTGGTAAGGTGGTGATACAGGTTGCTTGAAACACTTAAACACAATTGACAGCTAAGTAGAACAATACATATCACTTACCTAAACAGAAAACATCATAAATTCCAGAGATTAAAATCTATGGAGAACATTGCAGGTGTGATATATAAAAGGTAGCCAAATAACAATATGTAGAATATTTATATCATACAGAACACTATATTAGACTCTACAGTCAAAAAGCTAGACAGGACATTATATTAGAATCTACAGAGAAAAAGCTACACAGGACATTATATTAGACTCTACAGAGAAAAAGCTAGACAGGACATTATATTAGAATCTACAGAGAAAAAGCTAGATAGGACACTATATTAGACTCTACATTGAAAAATCTAGACATGACACTATATTAGACTCTACATTGAAAAATCTAGACATGACACTATATTAGACTCTACAGTGAAAAAGCTAGACAAGACACTATATTAGACTCTACAGTGAAAAAGCTAGACAGAACACGATATTAGACTCTACATTGAAAAATCTAGATAGGATACTATATTAAACTCTACAGTGAAAAAGCTAGACAGGTCATTATAATAGACTCTACATTGAAAAAGCTAGATAGGATACTATATTAAACTCTACATTAAATCTAGATAAGATACTATATTAGACTCTACATTAAATCTAGATAGGATACTATATTAGACTCTACATTAAATCTAGATAGGATACTATATTAGACTCTACAGTGAAAAAGCTAGATAGGACACTATATTAAACTCTACAGTGAAAAAGCTAGATAGGACACTATATTAAACTCTACAGTGAAAAAGCTAGAAAAAACATTATATTAGACTACATTAAATCTAGAAAGGATACTATATTAGACTCTACAGTGAAAAAGCTAGATAGGACACTATATTAGAATCTACAATGAAAAAGCTAGATAGGACACTATATTAGGGACAGTGTTGAATAGTTGGTTTGAAAACTTTAATGAATTGCATTTGCTTGTTGAAATAAACAGCAACAGCGTTTTGGCTTCTATACTGAGGCCTTCTTCATGACCTGAAATCAAAACATTCCCTTCTTCTTTCTAAACAACGAATCAGACAGAACTCTACATTACACCCATGAATTAAACAACGAATCAGACAGAACTCTACATTACACCCATGAATTAAACAACGAATCAGACAGAACTCTACATTACACCCATGAATTAAGCAACGAATCAGACAGAACTCTACATTACACCCATGAATTAAACAACGAATCAGACAGAACTCTACATTACACCCATGAATTAAGCAACGAATCAGACAGAACTCTACATTACACCCATGAATTAAACAACGAATCAGACAGAACTCTACATTACACTCATGTATTAAACAGCTAATGAGACAAAACACTACATTACATTCAATGATTAAACAGCTAGACAAAGTATAAGTACAATCTATGGAAACAAAAGGTCACTACACTACATTTAAGTGTTAAATAGCTAGACAGAATACAGTCAGACTCAAGAGTTAAATAACTTCACAGAACACTAGAAAACACTTTATATAGACAACTAGTAAAACAGTAATGCATTCCAAGGTTAAACACTCAGAACACTGAATTACATTTGAGGATTAAACAGTGAGATACACTGATATACACTAGGGTTAAACAATTAGGCAGAACACTGCTTTGCTGAGCCCTCATTTACAGAATTAAGGGGGTAGAATTGGAATGGCTGCCAAAATCAAACAGAACACTACTTTTGTCTCATTATGTATGTTTCTTTCAATTCGGTTTTTAAGAAGCCCACCTGAGTATCAAAATTTTAAAATCGGGGTTGCCAAGACAAATGCATTATCAACTTTACTCATATTACTATACGTAATGATACTAGAGGAGATGGTTTTATTCTTTATACTATAACAGGACTGTTCGGTCAGTAGAGAAAATTTGTGACATGTGACTAGAATTAAAAAACAAAACAATTCTATTCACTAAAATAACGAGTCTAAAAAATGCTTTAGTACAGGTTGTTGTTTTTTTTCCATCCGAAAGGTAGTTTTCAAAAACACATTCTTCAAATTCATTTATACCACTACATAGCAGAATTGTACAAAATATGAGTACGTAAGATTGCAGAGGATACACAAAGGTGTCGAAATGGAACAAACTGTCTCAGAACTAGTTTCACACGTGAATGTGTGTGACTTTCTCATGACCGTGGGTAAGTTACTCATATTAATAATGATAAAAGAACACAATATTATGTATAACAATCAGTGAAAAACCACGGTAAACTAGTTCTGAGATAGTTAGTTCCATTTACCGTGGTTTTTCACTGATTGTTATACATAATATTGTGTTCTTTTATCATTATTAATATGAGTAACTTACCCACGGTCATGAGAATGTCACACACATTCACGTGTTGAAACTAGTTCTGAGACAGTTTGTTCCATTTACCGTGGTTTTTCACTGATTGTTATACATAATATTATGTTCTTTTATTAATATGAGTAACTTATCCATGGTCATGAGAAAGTCACACACATTCACTTGTCGAAACTAGTTCTGAGATAGTTTGTTCCATTTACCGTGGTTTTTCACTGATTGTTATACATAATATTGTGTTCTTTTATCATTATTAATATGAGTAACTTACCCGTGGTCATGAGAAAGTCACACACATTTACTTGAAAAGTGTTCCAAGCTCCTGCCTGTTTATAACTTATTTCTCTATGAAGACGTGACTTGCTTAACTTCCAGCCACAATGGAATGACTATTTTCATGTTGACGTCACGGTGAAATGTTTTCTTCTGAAAGAAAACTTCCAAACAGATAATGCCAAGAAACTATTTTCACAAACAAGCTTGGATTACCCTTAGTAACAAAGTGGATTGTTTATGCAAATCGTCTATTCAAAAGCTTGTTACTTAGCTGTTTTTTTAATTCTAAGGCCTTCGTGGGGAAAATTGTCTAATTATTGGTGGTTTATTTAAGATGTTTCATCATAAATTCAAAATTATATGCAAATTAATAAAATCTTAACGGTGTGGCATGCTTCGAATAAAAACTAAACTTTCAGTAAGGGCTCTTGATATTTTTTAATTTCTTCCTTTCTTTAATTATTTGACTTCAAGAATGTAACCAACTTGTACTATGATAAATGGACTCCAGCGATACAACCAAAAGACATATCATTCAGAGCATAGATGGACAACTTCCGAGCTAAGTCTCTGACAGTTTTATGAGAAATTCTCTTGCACTGTTCACTTAATTGAGAGAAGGCTTTAGTTTACACATCCAAAATGAACCTTTATGCTAACCTCTGTGTGTTTTAGACTTCCTCTTAATCAGGAAAAAAAATAATGGTGTTTTAGAGACCCATAACTTTATGTCCACTTTAATGTAGTTGTAAAATATTAAAATTCATAAACATCTAAACGTTTAATGCAACACTACGGTGAGGTAGCTGAATAAGACTATTATCCCTAGGGTTAAGCCTTATTACACTTGAATCACATGGATGAACAAGTCAGTAGTCTTGTAGTAATGCCTCAGTTACTACAGTGTACTCATTGTCAGTAGTCTTGTAGTAATGCTTTAGTGTACTAATTTGCTTGCATACTACAGTCTTCTACTTTAACATTGCAGTAATGCCTCAGTTACTGCAGTGTACTCACTGTTAGTAGTTTTGTAGTAGTAATGCATCAGTTACTGCAGTGTACTCATTGTCAGTAGTCTTGTAGTAATGCATCAATTACTACAGTGTACTCACTGTCAGTAGTCTTGTAGTAATGCATCAATTACTACAGTGTACTCACTGTCAGTAGTCTTGTAGTAATGCATCAGTTACTACAGTGTACTCACTGTCAGTAGTCTTGTAGTAATGGTTTAAATTGAATACATTTACATCCTGTAAGGATTCTCATAATATACCCACGCACACTTTGGAAATATGGTACACAAAAAAAGAAATAAATAATAATGAAGCCAGGAACTTTTCTAGATCTTTATCTAAAGGCTAAAAAAGTCTAGTATTATTTAAGGGACATAATTATGACTTAAAAACTTCTGTATAAAAACAACTAATACTTCAAAACATCATCAGGTTCACTGCTCTAACCATATATCTTATCAGACAGGGCCACCAACACCTGGAAAACACTCACCTTGGCTCAAATTCTCCCACACTCAAGCAGCACTTTTACTTATCTGCATTATGTTTTATGATCTTCCCTATTATAGAAGTTTCTTAACTTTTTTATGACATTCAGAAACTTGTCCAAAAGACAACAATAACAAATGTTTTTTTCTAGGGTTTCTACCCCACAAATTTTTCATATGAGCTTTAATTGTTTACATTTTGATGTACAGAGATCAGCTGTAATAACAAAGCAACTAATGATTGGGTGTGAAAGCCGAGACTACAAACTTTTGTACAGGCTCTGTAAAATCCCAATATGTCTATAATTGACAAAATGTTTCGAAATCAATAATATGTTAACAAACTTGTCTACATCCCCGTAATAAGTTGACTTGTATGAGACAGCCACTACATCCTATGAAGAAATGAATAAAACCGAGAATTGAAAATTTAACCATTACATTCTCATTATTGAGTATTACCCATCGAAAAAGTCAGATGTAACGTCTGCTTCATTTAATGTTCAACAAAGAAGGAAGTACCGATCCTACAATTTAAAACATGCAAAATGTGAAAAACTCATAAAACATTGTAAAATGTTTTGAAAGCTAGGTTAGAAATAATCATAAAATTGTATACAAATTATTCCTTCATTAAATACTACAAAATTAAAATGACTCAACTGGAAAATACAGATAGAGCTCATTTACAGCAAAGAAAAAGAAAATTAGGTCCTGTACGGCTATTTTAATCAACTGGAAATAGTACATATTATATATAGATGAGAAATGTTACCAAACAGTGGCTTCATAAGCCTTCAATTAGAACAACTGCCAAATGTATAGCCTTAAATATGTAAATTAGGTTAAGACCAAAACCACTCACTGTGATGTGGAGATAGCTCCATTAAATTGTCTTCCCAAATCTTTGCTATTTCCTCAGCAGCCTGCTAAAAAAATGATAACAGAGTAGACGTTTTGCCAGAGCTGATGCTGAAAAAAACAATTACTCTGTTACCTGAAAAATATTTATGACTGAGCTTTTCTTTATCATTCCATACAAACGTTTCTCAGTATTATCATTTCATAGATACCTTATAAAGTTTGTTAAATAATGTGTTGAATAACAAATTATACACACTTATTAACAAAGATAAGTTTCCTGTTGAATTTGTCTGCACAACCTATATTATTCCAATCCTAACGAAGATCGAGCCCTCAAAACAGACATTCACTAAAATATGTCACACACATTCAAATGCTTGTGAATAATTTATTTAAGTGATTTAACTCATGTGCAACAAGTATACAATGACGAGTATGCAGTTCACTATTACCCTAAAATTACCAACTTGTTTATATTCTGTTCAGTTTTCGTGGAGTCCACATATTGCATCATATTGAGTAGCTTTACATTTCTGTCTGTTACACCAATCAGTTCTAATGATTCAATGTTTATTTAATATATTTAATTACTGTGTGATTGTGTTGCTGGTTCATTCACATAGACAGGCCAGCTGTTTGTGTAACTCTACCAGTAACGTACATGCAACAGGCCAGCAGTTTGTGTAACTCTACCAGTGTTGCACGTATGTTCAAACTGCTGGCCTTGTAACTCTACCAGTAACATACGTGCAACAGGCCAGCAGTTTGTGTAACTCTACCAGTAACATACGTGCAAGCAAGAACTTGTTTGGTTGTTTTATGTAAATACATGCCATTGTTGGTTGTTGTTAAAACATATAAATGTGTCATAGCTCAGTAATGAATAGTAGTTATCCTTTCACAATTGTGAAATGAAGTACAGATGATGATTTGTGTGTAGTGGATAAACAAAGGCTGTTGATACAATTTCTCCACTGTAATTTATTAGTAGCCTTTGTGATCATAGCCCTGTGGTTTAGAGTTATCGGTGACCCAAGCCTAAATCAAAGAGGTTTCATTACAAGAACTGGTCAAGTATGTTAGGTGTAATCACTCATTTTCTACAAGATATACACAAGAAACTCCAGGAGTAACTTGTGGGATAAACTGTAGTATTGATAGTAAATTTGTTTACTTTTTTAACTGTTAACTTAGTATTTAGTTTTAAAATTAGCCTAAATCTTCTTAATCTACACATCTCTTTGAAAAAAGTAAAAAAAAAAAAAAAACCTTTTATTAAAAGAACATTTTCAAAGGTACATTTTGTAGTATTTTGAAGACTTATAAATGCTTACAAAATTAATTTCTCTACTTATGTTAATGTTTTGTGTTCCATAGATACTATATACTTATTATTTCTTTTTAGTTGCTATCAGTAACAGAATTGGTTAGAATATTTAATATATATTATTATGCTTATTCTTTCACTATAAAGATTGTTAGCAGAGTATATGTATTTAGGAACAACTTAAATTTCCTAAGCTGGCTGAACCTTGTGAGATAATATTGGGAAACATTTAAAACTTAACAGTGAGAGTAACCAACTGATGAAACAATGCGTATAAATAAGAATACACGAGAAGTATTCTTAATTAGTTATAGTCGATACCAAATGCCAGTTTGAATTTTAGTTTTTCTCTGAGCAGGTAGCTTGTTCTGATCATGTAATAATAATAGAATCCTACCTCCCACATTATCTCTTTCAATTTGGAATGAACATCTCCCGGTAAAGTTGCAATTGTTTTTCATTTTCCTATATCATCACACAGAATGTCTTAAGATGGCTGAGTATGAATCATCATCTCCTGGAATTAGATTGAAATATTACACTTTAAATTTACATGACTTTTTTTTTTGCAAGACATTCTTTTAAATTGAATCACAATGTATCAAATGTTTCATGATGTAATTTAACTTGATAATTATAGTAACAAAGAACAGTTTATTATTTTAGTTTTAATTTGTTATAAAAATTACTCTTCGTTCAGTTTTGAGTTCTTTTTTTCAATTACCTTCTTAAAAAATAAGTCACTTCAGAAGTTTCTGTCACGAATGTTTGGTGTGTTGCTATTATCATTGAAACATTTCAGTTATCTAACAATAAATTATTTTTATATAATTTAGTTATTACTAAATTATAAATAATTCACATGCATTAGTAGAATTAAAACAATTTAAATATTTCAGTTACAGTAAAACACTAAATGCAAGGAGAGGCCCAGTAGTGTAGTTAAGAGTATACAATAGTAACATAGTTAAATTGCATTTACCCACTTCTTGTTTAATGCCTACAAGCACTACATGGCCTAGCTAAACCCCACCCATCAAAAATATTAGTTTACTTTACTTTAGTCTTTTTTTTTACCAATGGAGAAGCTTACTTTTGTTTAACAAAATTTCCTTAAATGAATGACAAAAAATTATATTATGATTAAACAGTACTGTGGAGAACTTTATTTTCACATATATATTTAGATTAATCATGTGTACATACTATTTTATTGAATAACAATAAAATATCTTCAATGATCTATTTATCCTTTTGAAAGCTACCTTATTATACCTTTCAATTAGTTATTTGCACTATAAAATTAAAAAGTATTTATATAAATTTTAATATTACAAGTAACAAGATCAACTAAAGAACTTTTATAATTATAGCTATACTTAAGTTATACGTTATAGCAACTAAGAAAATAAAGGGCAAGGTTAACTTTACATGAATAATTCGATAACACTTTTATAAAGTTTAACAAACTAAAAACCCATTAAAATTTTAGAAAAAAACTATTAACTAATTACTAAAGATATGTTAATGCATATAAATTTTAAAATACATAAAGTAAAATATGTCTAAGAATTTGTATGACTAAGCCGAAGGTACAGGCCTATATTAGGCTAAAGTATAGGTAATTTGTAAAGACTTAAAATAGTGAATACTTCTAACGTTAAACTTCATATACCGTACTCATAGATAATGTATTTGGCACATATTATGAACTGGATATGGCAGAAATAGTGGTTAACATGTTATTATATGACACTCTTTTTTAATTTAACTCAGAAGTTCTTATTAATAATAATTATTAATGCACTCTTCTCTTGCTCTTCCGTTCATGATGCCGTCGCTTTATCCGATTCGAAATCAAGAATTTTACTACTGATGTGCTATGCTAGTTCGTTACTTCTTGTGAATAACAAAAAGGTTAATTTCCGAAAATAATCATTAATAACATACAGTATTAAATAATTTTATTCTAGTTGTGATATTTTGTGACACAAATAAAACTTATTAAAAATTACTCTTTACCAAATTAATCCAGTTTACACTGTAACAGTTGATATTAAGCAAATTACTAACCAAACATTACAAGTTACAATGTCTGTCGTATCCCAGGTTCCCAGAAGGCCTGAAGAGCCCTGGTATTTACCGAAAAGACTCTTTGGAACTGGATTTATTGGCTATCTTAATTACCTTCATTCAGAAGTTCTTACTAATAATTTGTTTGTTTATTTATGGCAAAGCTATAGAAAAGTAGCTGCCATCATCTCCAATTTTGGACTTCTGACCATAAGACACCACCCAAAACCTACTTGGACAACTCTTGAGACTGTCTTCATCGTCACAGTATAACGCCACGGTGGCATCTTCGGCACCAGATCTCGATCCTGCAACCTACAGAATACAAGTCGAACATTTTAACCAACAGAATAATAATAAGTAAACATTTTAATATTTTCCCTGTGCTAATATAGCGGGTTGGTCGGGAGAGATCCACTTGTCATCAATTATATTAGTATCACCGCTTACATTATTTTTTGATGATAAGCAAATTCGTTCTCATAATAATTCAAAAATATACAATGTTTAAGTTACACAGACGCATTTCATTATAAAAAACTAACACAAAAAGATAAATCGACTAAAGATTTACAACTTTAAGGAATAAAATCATAAACATTTTTCTAGTGCTACTAAGATAAAGATTTCTTTCAAACAGGGATACTGCTTTGTTATGGAAAATTCAGTCACGCAAAGGTAATTGAAAGAGCTCGACATAATTGTTGTTGTTGTTGAATTCTGATCTCTTGATGTGAGTAGTTTAGTTAATTATCACAGATTATCTGGTCTTGGAACCCAAGAACTTCCGTTGAACTGAACTAGAGCCGGAAGCTAAAGCCAAATATAGAAGAAAAGGGAATGATTTCGCCTTGAAAGGTATCTGTATTTAAATTGTTAAGGATTGACGATGTCAGTATAATGACTCCCAAAACATAATTTTTGTTGCTTTTACACTGTGATTTTTTGTATTGGGGAGTCATCCTGTAAATGGAAATTTACTCCGATTTATCACACATAAACAATATATACAAGATATTGTTTGTTCAAAGCCAAAGGCCTTCTGAATAATCAACTAGGGTGACGCTTAAGACTGTTCTTATTCTTAGTTTGATTGTTATTTTATGTAATAAGTAAATATTCTGGCAAAGGAAAAGCTTTTGAGACACTTTACAACCAGGAATAAATGGAAAAGAAATGAAGAAATACTCAATGTTGTGTCACATGGAACCGTACTTTGTATTTTCCACTTTCAATGCTTAAAATTTGATTTTTTTAAATATTTTGTAGTTCTCTGTTTGAACTCAGTGAAGTGCTCAAGTAAGCTACTCAACTTCTCTATCACTAGAAACGCGTTGTGGGTGTGTTAATAATTAATAAAATCATTTGTGTTTTGTGGTAAGAAAGACAAATAATGTAGCTTGAGAAACTACTGTTTTTCTTGTCGGTAAATCAGACAATAACTAATGGCAGTAACGCCTTTACAGTCACATATAACGCTCACTTGTTGTGGGATAGGGTGCAGACTTTGTGGTTCATATTTTGTTTGTTGTTAATTTTTTTAAAGATAGCACTAACTTTAATTTATATAAAAGCTTTCACTGAAAGTCTCAGATAAAGTTAGAAATTCGCCTTAAGTTAACTTAGTCAGTTAGTGGCTTAGTGTCTATCTTGCATTTCATACTTTTCACAGATTTTGCGGCTTACTGTTTGAGAAGGAATTGGGGTCTGGCATATAAATAATGTAAGTGTATAGTAAAATCAAAGTTTCACTTAGATTTACTGCTGCTTTATTTTATTCGCATACCATGGGATATTTTAGTACTTAGAAGGGGGGTACATCGGAGTTAACGAAATTTTCATAATAAAGGATCTCGTATTTCCACACAATCTCACAAAACATTTGCCCTATATTTTGTTTTTAATGCAATTAAATATTTGTGATTTGTTATCTGTGTCTTCTCTATTTCCTTGTAAGAAGTACTCAGTCAGTTGTAGATCAGGAAGAAATAAGATATATACCTAATATCTTAGAACCACTTGTTAGTGAAGTTAATTTAATACTCTAACTTCTAAGGCCCAACCGCGAGCTGAAAAGTACCACAGTTGCATAGGTTGAAACACATTATGCTTCGTCAGTGTATTTGATGCTTATTTGCCTCCTTTGCAATAATCTATGCCATGATAAAATGCAAAATGTGAGAATTAAGATAAAAAAGAATAAACAAATTATATAAACTATAAAAGGCCTATATCAGTGTGGCACACTGGTGTTCCCTGGTACAAGGATTTCCTGCAGAATAGTCAGTTAGGACCCACTAACTGGAGGCTTGAAAGATATCAAGGTATATGGTGTGTCTGATTATCTCTTCAAATCTGAATGAGTTTACTGGGAAGAAATAGTTGAAAGTGCACGACAATCTTTATTACATATTTGTAAATACATATAATTTAAAGACAATAAGGGTCCTGTTGGTCCATCTAGGCCATCCAATCCACTATACTAAACTCTAAAAAAATAAAACAATCAAATTCAGTTTTATAATTTCAGTAGTTATCAAACTTCCCCTTAAACTCCCTTAAATTAACTGTATCTACATATCTAAAGACAATCCATTTCAAAGGCCAACCATCCCGTTAGCAAAATAAAGTTTACTTAGCTGAAGGTGACACCTACCCTGCCAAAATTAATATTTATATTCCCTAGTCTAACCATTATCGCAATTAAATATCAGAAAGTTATACACCAACACTATTAATTCCTTTGTAACTCTTCTTTTTCCAAAAGGAAACAATTTCAGAGATTTTAATCTATCTTCGTGTGATAACCATTCCCTCTCAAGTATCATCCCAGTAGCTTTCCCCTGAAGCCTTTCGAACAATTCAATGTCCTTTTTAAGGTAAGAAGTCCAAGACTGAATATAGTATTCCAAATGCAGCCTTACTAATGACCTATGTAATGACATTATAACCTCTTTAGACTTGTATTCAGTATTTCTGTAGATACATCTTTTTTATTACATCTTATTTGTCCTGCTAGCAGCAGCACATTGATTGGATGACTAAAGAACTGATCAACTAACATCAATGTCTTTTTCTTCCATAACACTGTTAAGATTATTCCCAACAAAATTATAAATTATACTCATACTTTAGATTGTGATGTCCCACATGCATTATCTTGTACTTACTATAGTTAAAAGCCATTTTCCATTTATTCACCCAAGTCACCAAATAATCCAAATCATTTTGTAAAGCAGCAGCATCTTCTTGAAAGCCAGCAACACCCAAAAGTTTATATCATCAGCAAATCTAAATAATTAATTGGCGATACCTTCATCTACGTCATTGATGATAATCAAAAAGAACAAAGGTCCTAAGACTGAGCCCTGAGGTATCCCACTTGTGACATTAATTCAATTTGACTGAAATCCATTTATAATAACCCTCTGCTTTCTTCCATCCAGCAAGTTTTCTGTTCAATGAGCCACCTATCTCCCACACCTACAGAGATGCACTTTAACAAGCGTTTTATATAACACCTTGTCAAATGCTTTCTGAAAATTTAGATATATCAAATTCACACCTGTATCCTCTTCTATATAAGCAGTAACCTATTCAAAATTTATCAAAAAATTAGTAAGGCAAGATTTTCCCCTAGTGAAACCATGTTTACTATCCAATAAAATTTTAAACTTTGTTAAATTAATATGCAGAACATATTTTATCAGAACTTCAAGCCCCCAGTGGCACAGCAGCATGTCTGCGGACTTACAATGATAGAAACGTGGTTTCGATATCCGTGGTGAGCAGAGCACTAATAGCCCAGTGTGTAGCTTCGTGCTTAATTTAAAATATATAAATAAATAAAAATTAAAAGTAATCATTTCTGAACAAATCACAAGTTCAGAATTGGAAACACGAATTAATATTGCACTTCGTAAAATAAATTAAGTTTAGATGAAAAATATGCACAAAAATCGTAACTAAACAAACTGAATACCACAGAAATGCAAATAATATATATTGTTACGACAGCGGAAGTCACGTGACCCTGGTAACACGTAATGAGTTCTAGGAAGATCTGGGAACATCACGAATAATCCAGTATTTGCTAGGCGTCCTCTATTCTTGTATATATGTGCGCCAGATAAAGCAAAATTATTAATCGGAATTAGAATTGCAGACAGGCAGAGACAGAGACGGACAATTGAGTCAAGCGCGGCAGCAAAGTGCGTGAATCGTGGTGAATTATAGCGTGTGTTTAAGTTAAAGTGACTGTGGAAATTAAGTGTATTGTAGTAAAGTGCGTGAATCGTGGTGAATTATAGCGTGTGTTTAAGTTAAAGTGACTGTGGAAATTAAGTGTATTGCAAAGTTGAATTGAGAAAGAATAAACTAATTTTATTTAAGAAAGGACTTGTATCGCTGAAGTTTCTCGGAAAGAATTTCTACGGAAAATTAACAAACGACCAGAGACGTAACAATATGTTAATAACACTAAAATAATAACTTAACTTGGATTATTGTAAGAGTACTAAAAATCACATACAATTTAACAAAAATATATTTATTTCAAACATGTAAAACTGGTACTAAACGCAAGATAACATATTGTATCATAATAACAAATTTAACTGAAACATGAATTAATCAATATTAAACACGAAATAATTTGGCTTAAAACAGGGTAATATACTCCAGTTCACTGCTTTCTGACAGGTAAGAGTAGCCTCACTAATAAGTTAAAGTTCGAGCATGAAAAGATGGAGTTAAGGTAGAAAA